ACATGAAAATGTTAAAGCAAGGGGTGAGACAAATCAATAACCAACTTTCCAACTCATCATACACACTAACACGTGCTCGTGAGGTGTCAAGTGGGACAATTATTAATTCTCGAAAACAAAGATATATAGTTTCAATCATCCAAACCCTCACTATGGGGGCTAACACACAAGCCACATAAGTCTATCCCTCTCTATAGGGGATCAAACTGACCTATAGGCCTATCCCACACTTTGGGGAACGATTAAATAGTCATAAAGATCCATCCCTTATTATAGGCCTATCCCACACTTTGAGGGACGAATAAAGAGCCACAAAGGTCTATCCTTTACTCTAGGAACGAAGGAAGAAGCCAACCAATGTGCACCAATGACGGCCTTACCACGTGGTAGGATGGTGCTCAATCCAAAATCCAAATAACAACCAACCATTCACAATATAACAAAAATGTCTCAATCTTTTCCCAGTATAATCCATAAGATATAAATCATATATCTTTTCCAAACTTCTCAATTACAATTCCAAAAATCCCACAAGACAATTTTCATAGCTCAAAAGATATAATTTATCTACTCGAGTTTCAAATAACAAATCATTATACCAAAATAGCAAAATACTCACAAACAGCATATTAGCATATATAACAAGTGAAAAGTGGTTATCTCTGGCCAAAGCAATACTAAGGATTACCATAAGGTCAATCCTTTGCTCAACCCATAATTAATCTACACAATTAATATAACCACATATTAATATAAACTAATTAATTAATTAATTAAACTTCTCTATATTATTTAAATTTCTAATTTAATTAAATTTTTACTCTAAATTCCCGTAACTCTCATAACTCAAAAATTATTAAGTATTTTAGAAACAACTTAAAATTCCTAATAACCCAAATTATTTATTTACCACCTCCAAATTATTTACCTTAATAAAAAGGATTTTCCACAATTTCCAAATATAAAATTATTATTTTCTAAATTCTAAAAATCCCATTTTAAGTTTAAACCTTAAAATCAAACTATCAAAAATTCAATAATACTTCAAATATTTATAAATAAATAATCTAATCAAAACTTTAATGGTATAACCCATATATATATATATATGTATATCCGTAAATAATAAACTTTTTAACTACAATAATTATTTTAAAACTTCCAGTTACCCAATAAATAAAACTAAACCGATTAAAATCTCAATAATATATCAAACAGTCCAAATAAATTATTTAACTTAAATTTAATCGGTAAAAATATGGTATATCCCATAAATAACAGATTTTCAACTATATAAATTAATTTAAATACTAAAACTAACAAATAGAGAAATCTAAACTGATTAAAATTAACAACTCATTTACTTCTGAATTTTTATAGTCATCTTTTGTCAAAACTCAATACTTAGATCATATATAAGTCTCAAAAATTTTTCTAATCACTATAGTAATACTATTATTACGAAACATAAAATATATAAGAAATATTTATAAAGAAAGTTTGATAAAAGGAAGTATATTTATGTATCTAAATTATCTTCAAAGTTTGCCTTTTCTTTCAAAATGATCGCAGCTCTGCTTCTTCTCTCCGGCACTTTTTCTCTCTTCTCCTCTCTCTCACGCCCCCATCATCTTCTATCTCTTTTATCTTTCATTTTCCCAACTATCATTGCATTTTTTTCCTTCCTTCATTAATTCCTTCTCCCCTAAATTCCTCTCCCTTAGTCAAATGGTGCAGCTTTCCACCAAATTCAGTGGAAAGCTGCTTCCTTTTTTTTTATTAAAATATTATTATTATAATAATAAATTATTATTTTATTATATATATTTTTTTTGAATTTTTTTTAACTAAATCCTGAAATAAAGTTTAGGATATTACAGTCAGTAAGACACTACAAACTAAACTGATCAATGAACCGATTAGGCCAATAGCTCAACAGGTTAGAAAAGTGAAGGAGAATGAGATGGGGAGAAGGTAGAAGAAAGGAGAGGAATATTGTTTGAGGCATTTCAATCTTCTTTGGTTAATTCTAAAACTTGGATTCCATTTCTATAGCAATCCTCATTTCTTGATTTAATAAAATGTGTATATATATTGGTTCATAAATCATAAGTGATGGAATGATGGCATATTCTTTGGATAGGATTTTGTTTTGCCAAATTGTCCTTATTTTGTAATCAATCATTTTTCCACACAATTTCTTTTTTAAAAAATAATGAATGCTAAGAAAAATTAAAAAGAATCTCTTTATCTATTTTTGGTATTTAAAAATGATGTTGTCTTCATAAAGCTCTTCAGTATTGATAATTGAAAGTGATTTAATGATTTGGAAAAAAAAAAACCTTTTTCAAATTTAGAAACTAAAATCAAATAATTTACTGTGGCTAGGAAATTGACGTAAAAGTATTTTAAAAAATTTAAAAAAATTTCAAATATTTATATTAGAGGTATGTATTTAGTCATTTAGCAATCATGTCTTTCTATTTATATTATTTTTCTCAACTAAGCATAAAAAAAAAATGAATATCTATTATTTTCATGACATGCAAAATATAATTATTTTCTTTTCTAAAAATCTATACATTTTGAGAAATCCTGAAATGGTAACTTAAATAAGAAAAATTTTAGTACCAAGGGATAAAAGAAATAAAACTGCTTCAATCATTAGAACAAGGGATCTGTAATAAAAGAAATAAAAGTGTCTAATTTGTGTTGTAAATCACCTAATTTTAGTTGTTCCCCTAATATTTAATTTTTATCTTCACAGAACTTCAAATAAAGTTGTGAATTCCTATATACTTCTTGCAAATTACCTAATTTGTATTGTAAATCACATAATTTTAATTGTTCATGTAACTCTTGATATTTAATTTTTCTTTTCGTAGAACCTCAAATGGAGTTTTGAATTCCTATATACATCTTGCAAATTGCCTAATTTATGCTGTAAATCATCTAATTTTAATTGTTTACACAACCCTTGACATTTAATTTCTCTTTCCACATGACTTCAAATGGAGTTGCAAATTCCAACATATCTCTTACAAATCACTTAATATGTGTTGTAAATTGTCTTATTTCAGTTATTTATTCACACACAGACACATACATTTGTTTTGTTATTTGTTATATACTACCTCCGATCCTAAATATAAGAGCTGGTTCACTAATTTGAATAAATTAAGGAAAAAAGTTCAGTTAGTTATTTGTAATAAATAGGTGTTATTTTTCCCAAAATATCCTTATTAATCAAGTGTATTGGTTGGAACTACCATTATTAGAAGGATCATCTTAGAAAAAAAATATATAAATATGAAAGATAAAGTAGATTGGGGTTTTATATTTAGGATCTAAATAAAAGTTAAACAAGATTTTATATTAAGAATTGGAGGTAGTATATATATTGCATTGTATTATTAAATAAATTAAATGGTTTGGTGGTTATAATATTTTTGGTGTGGCAAAGGTCAAGGGTTCAAACCCTTCTAGCCACCTTATTATTTTTTAAAAAATTCTTTGGCCAAAGAGACTGGCCACTGGAGCTCTCGTGAGATTGATTTTTTTTAAAAAAAATATATATAATGGTATAATTATATTTTCGTCTATAACATTTAATTTTATTTTCGTCAAACGGACTGAAATGAAGTTTTAGAATCTTATCGTGACTATTGGAAATTAAATTGCTTTAGAGGGGGCTAATTGAAATTTCCCTCCAAAGTTCCAATAACAACAAAACACTCTATAATGATAAGTTTTAAAGTAATGAATGACAATTCATTTATTGTTGAGACTTATTAATAATTTTTTTTTCTGAGATATTATTGTAATTCTCTTCCAAAAATAACCATGAAACTTCCCAACTTCCAATTCCCTAACCAAGCGTGACTGTGTGCGCCTCGAGTCCTGTACGAAACTTCGTTTTTTGTTTTTTGTTTTTCCTTTTTTTGAGCTAACTGAATGAAACTTCGTTGATTTGATTGGGACCTCAGAGAACCGGACAACGGTAAAGCATCTTTGGTATATTCTTCCGCATTTTCCCCTTGTATGCCCCACTCAATGATCACAGTTTGTCCAATAATATAAGGTAATTGCTGATATCGTTTATTCGGTACAAAATTAATATTGTTTATAACTGTTTTTATAAATTTAATACTCACAGTATATAATAATTTTTTTAATAAATAGTGCTTTTCATATATTTTGAACCTCTCAACAGGAACACCGATCCTTGTAAGTTATATAACAAAGTTCCATCTTTGAAGCTTTAGACAATAAAATGCATGATGCCTGAATAAGCAAAACAACCATGTTTAGAGGAAGTACAGGGAGGGGTTAGTGGAGAGAAATTGACAGCAGTAATTCTCTTTTGTGTGTGTATTTTATTTCGGAGCCGCCTCCGACTGGCACACTCATCCGTAGTTTGAATAAATTGGACCCATTTGAACCCACCCAGAAAAACACAGCGGGTTTTAATGAGCAGGATTTAAAAAATTAAAAATTAAAAATAAAAAACTTTAAATTACGATTTTCTATTTTTTTTCTTACATCTTTTTTTTAATTAAAATTTTACAACCCACTTCTTTGATTATTTTTCAAATTAAATTCATTAAAATCACTCTTTCCCTTCCCTCCCCTCATACTAAATAGACAGTTTTAGAAATTTTCCTTTTGTATGTTTTTTATTTTAATATATATATTCAAACCAAGAAAGAGAAGTCTATTCTTATTATAAAACAGTATAATATAATTTATTATTCAACATTAATATTAATAATTTCTTCCAGTCAAAATATATTCAAACTTTTTCTGGATGGGATCATGTCCGGGGATTTTTTAATTAAAAAAAGTTTATTTTAAAATTGACTTTTTTTTTTTTTTGGTGCCCTTTTGCAAGATTGACGATGGCCCTTGGGTATACAATAATGCAACGCATGTGGTGTGAGGTGCTCTTTCTCACTGTGAGGGTGATATACGTGAAAGTTCGACGAGAAAGAAAAGCCTCTTTCTAACTCATCACTGCATTTTCATCCTCTGCTTCTCTCTCTCATATCTCTGTGAGCTTCAAGAAATGGCTGGAAATGGTGAGACCCAATCCGTCTCTGTACCATTCTTCATCTATTCTTGTATATATGTATGTATGTATGTATGTTAGAGCGCGCTTCTAAACGGTTGAGTTCTGTTTCCGGTGTGTTTTGCAAACCTGTTCTGCTTCAGATTCGCTCGCCGAATTTCTTGCGTCTGCAGTTCAAGCTGCTCAGGAAGCTGGTGAGGTTAGTTGATTTTTCATTCAGTATTAGTTTAATTTGGTGGTTTATTTCTTGAATTTCTTTCTGGTAACTGAGTGAATTTCCAGATTATTCGAGAGGGATTCTACCAGACAAAAAATGTGGAGCACAAAGGGCAGGTTTGTATTGACATTTCATTTTAATTTTCTTGGTCGTTTCTTTTAGTATAGATTGTAGCATTTTAGTTGCAGGATTAACCTCAATGCTCGCATTTTAGAAACATTGAGAAAAACTGGTATCTCGTTTCAGGCAAGCTTTATGTAACCGTTAGTGATTGTGCCGAGAAATTATTGGCATTGATTCCATAATTGCAAGAATTGAAAGTTTGGTTGAATGTCAGTTTATTTTCTTTTTTCCTTCTCGGGGGAGAGGGCATTGCGGGAGATGATGGACAAAAAGGTAAAATAAAACGCGCTTTCAAGAATCCTGTAAATGACTCTTCTTGGAAAAAGAAGTTTGAACCAAATACTATGGCCTGCTCAGGGTTAAAAGTAGAATGCACCATTCGCTCATATGGAGAAAGGCAGGTGAAGTTAAAGAGGAAAAGCATAGTTGTAGTATCATTGAATGTGTTGTGCAGGGGAAGAAGAAGTGTAGCACTCATTTCAATGATTCTTTCAAGATGTCAAAACCTGTTTATCCTGAATGTTCTCTAATTGGGATTAGGAAACATGCCCCCTCACATGTAGCCCTTTGGTTTTAAACTGTGAAACTCGTCTAATCTTATGACTGATATTTATAAGGTTGATCTGTTAGGAAAATTCTCAGAAAATAATTGTATTAATATCGAAGGTGTAACAATCTTGTTTGTAGCATGCATGGCTGCTTTCAGTGAGCTATCTTAACTTCATCATCTATATAGACTGGAGAGACTTTATTAGGATCAATCTAATAGCAAGAAAGTGATTCATTAACTATCACGCATAACAAAAGGTAACCAGGGCAAAACAAAATCAAAACAATCAATTTGGGATGTTTTTGTTGAAGATAAGTTAGATAATGGTTGTAATCTTTCTCTCTACTCATGGAGAAGATACTTCAGGTGGTTAGTGGGAAGAAGTAACCCGTGGTCATAATTGGTGTATAGATATGAAAGAAGGCATATAGATTATCATAGATTATAACCATGTTATTTATCGTATGCTTTTGTTATGATGCATAGGTTGATTTGGTCACAGAAACTGATAAAGCATGTGAAGATCTCATCTTCAATCACCTCAGGAAGCTTTATCCCACTCATAAGGTTGATTATGTTCCTTTAAATAAGTTTTATTTCTTTTCTTTTTTTGTATGTTCTCCCTCATGGTCATTTTACCGATTTGCTCTTCCTCCTAGTTCATTGGGGAAGAGACTACTGCTGCTTTAGGGGCTACAGAACTTACTGATGAACATACATGGATAGTTGATCCTTTGGATGGAACTACTAACTTCGTGCATGGGTAAAGATTTGCTTACGTTTCAGTTGATGAATTAGCGTTTCCTTATTAATGACTATGTTTTACTGTCTGCAGATTTCCCTTTGTTTGTGTCTCCATTGGTTTAACAATTCAAAAAGTTCCTACAGTTGGTGTTGTTTACAACCCAATACTGAATGAGGTGAGAAGCCTTTTATTTGTTGACATTTTGACAATGAATTTCCTAAATTCCTAAATGTTGATATATGGAGGGGTGATTGAATGTTGGACGTAATTTTCTGTTGTTTTGTTCTTGGGCTGTTCAAATACTTTTCTCATAATGAAAACCAGGCAACTATGAATAATCTGGGGAAAGAATAATCAAGTGAACAGCTGTTCGTTATGATCCTAGTTTTCAGTGACTTTGATGTGAATAAAATGGCCCTGTGGGCCATGACCTGTTGGGGCCAAGAGAGGGTGGTTTTAGTTCACAGCATGAGAATCTAAGTTGATGTTTTTAATTTTGTTTCTGTTCTTGGTATGGTAACTCTTTTGTCTTTACTCTTCCTGAGAGCTCAACTCAAAGTTTGGGATTTCTATATGTAGCTTTTCACTGCCATTCGTGGAAGAGGTGCTTTTTTGAATGGAAACCCTATAAAAGGTTTGCTTTTCATTATCTTTCTTTCGTCTGTTATGCCTCATTAAGAATGAGTTGCTTCATGTGCATACATTTTAATTGTGCAGTATCATCACAAACTGAACTAATTAGCTCCCTTCTTGCAACTGAGGTATGTTAAATCCACCAGACTTTATAGATTCGTCCTTTTCTCTCCTACATATTGCCTTTTCGATGAACTTTTCTTGGGGTGGCATCTTGGGGAAGGGTGGCTTGTATGATCTTAGTTGCTTTCTCTGTTGTCTCTGGTGAAAATCATTTAATTGGGATAACAGTTCGAGGAGGAATGATTATGGAAGCCAAACACAATGCTTGGGCCAATAAGTCAAGACAGTTATGATACAATCAGTAACATTGGTGGTTGAGTTCTATATTTTTGCATGTCCTAATCTTGGTCCTTGTAGTCATTGTTTTATGTATGGCATGACTATCCTATTCTACTATGTACGTGATCCTTAAAATAACTTGAAGGTCTTGTTGAGCACATATGCATCAGACTGACTCTTTGCTTCCCCAGCAGTATCAAACCTAAGTAGCTAATATGTGTTTCTGTTTTCTTGCTAACAGAATCTAGTATATATTATCTTTATCTCAGTACCAATTATCATAAAGTTATGGCAGCTATTGCTCGACACTTTATACCATATGGTCTCTTCTATATTTTCGAGTTTTGTACTGACAAATGTCAGATTACAAGTCTGCCATACACCAATAGATATGTTGGTCCTCTTGTCATTCCTTCTGTAGTGGTAGAGTAACCTGGGAGTCCTTGTTTTTACATTTCAAGAGGAAAAGCTTCCCCAGAATTTATAATGTATATGTATTTCAAGCACTATTTTTGTGTTGTTCGCAGTGTCTGAAATTCACACCCTCTTAATTGTTCTCAGCCATATTAGGATTCCCTCCTTTAAAAGAACAAATTTCTGGTAAACTATATAAGGATAATTCATGCACAGATTAGGATAGACAAAGGTTGAGCTCTATTCTTTTTCTTGCTAGATACTACTCAGGTCTTGGTAGTCTTAAGTTCATCTCCTATATATGCATTTGATGTCTCATCTAAGCAGTGCAAGCCTAAAAGCTATTAATTGATCAAGAAATAACTGTATTGGTGAAGAAAATTCTTAGAGTATTATCTCTGAATATATGTCCGTATATGTCGTCTTTTAAGTTTGTGTTCTTAGAAAATGCTAACTTCTCTATATAATTGTTTAGTAGAACCAGAATTGTGACTTGTGATACCTGTTCTACTTTTAATTGTATTTCCATGGAGGGTACACTTGTTTAATTTGTCCTGTCAAAATGCGTACAGATAAAGGTTCTACTGGCTGGGAAATACACATAATTTCTGGAATAGTAATTTGAGTTTCAGATGCATTCACCCTAACTTTTAGTCATATTTCACGTTTACTTGTAAACGTGTTGCGATACATGATAACATCGCAAACTGATCAGGCCTTTTCTTTCTGAGAGAGCAGGTTGGGACAAAACGTGACAAAGCAACAATAGATGCCTCTACAAACAGAATTAATGCCTTACTTTTTAAGGTAAAATTAATAGTTTGCCAAAGAATCTACTTGAATTTAGTGAAATAATTGACTGCCATCTCAATAATTTTTATTTGATTAGGTGAGATCTCTGCGGATGGCTGGCTCCTGCGCCATGGACCTTTGCGGAGTTGCATGTGGAAGGCTGGATGCCTGCTTTGAACTTGGCTTTGGTGGTCCTTGGTATAGCCTTACATCCAGCATAAACCCTGAGGTTGTGGTATATCATAATTTGTGATTAACATGATTTCTTCCTTTCATAAGGGATGTGGCAGGGGCTGCTGTCATTGTTAAAGAAGCTGGGGGAGAAGTGTTTGATCCGTAAGTGACTTGTCCAAATATCCCTTCTCTTAACTATGTAGAATATGCCTGAAGTTCTTTGGAATCTTTGGCTCTTTCATCTTATTGACATTTCTGGAGAAGCTAAGCACGTTTTATTGTGCACTTCTTGGAGTAGAGGAATGGGTTCATGTTGATATATTGATTGGTTTCTATGGGTTGTTTATTTTTTTCCTTTTTCTCTTTGAACTACTAGCGGCATGGCCAGTTATTGGCAGAGATCCCCATCATCAACAGAAACGGATTTTCCTGGAAAGTTTTTTTTTTTTTTTTTCCTCATCAAAATCTGATATTCTGTGCAACAGGTCTGGTAGAGATTTTAACTTGACATCTCAGCGAGTAGCAGCTTCAAACCCTTTCCTGAAGGATGCATTTGTTGAGATTCTACGCCAAACAGGGTGTTAGTTAGCTGGTTGAAACTGACCATTAATGTTTGAGGGGGGAATTGGGGAAATGGCCAAACAACTCGGTCTATGTTAGTTCAATTTCCTTTTATAAAAATGCTTTGGAGTGGGAAAACTTCAATTATTTTTTTCCCAACTCTCTTTAGAGGGGTACCAAAACATTAGTATACTTGGATTCTTTTGATGTGTCGCTATAGAGTTCTTCTATAATTGAAAACCATAAGGGAAAATGATATTTGAGAATCTACAACTTAAAATATTGACAATTAAGAAATTTTAAATTCAAAGATTCTGATCTCCATGTTTATTATTAGATTTTTTTTTAAAATATCAAATATCAAATATCAAATGTCAATCAATTCATAAAATTAAACCATATATGGGTGAGCTGTATAAGTGATAATGTATATATTTAAGAGATTAAAGCATAAGAAGTGAACAATATAAAAATACTTGAAAGGGACATATCTATAAAAATACTTGAAAGAGGACACACACCAAAATTACACTATGATTAAACCGCAAGCTCACCGAAAAGTGAAATCATAAATTAACCTGGAAGATTTTGCTTAGAAGCGTCTGGCACTTGAAAGTTCACTCTATCATCAAAAATGTTAAGGTCAACATCATTATTTTAACAATCAACCAGTCTTTTAATGATAGGGGATAAAATTGTTACGATTTTAAAATTTCAAGACAAATTTTTGTTAAAAAAAGAAATTTCTCATGCCCAATGCTCTTGAGTGAAAAACTAAGCTTTCGACACAAATTTGCATCCTAACCTTTAACCAAATGTGCCAATAAACAATTTGAACAAAAAAATTGGCTGGGTTAACATAAGAGCTATGTAACTAATTTTTATATATCAAGAAAAATAGTGGAATTTGTTATTTGTAACAAACGTGTTTTGACTTTTCTAAACTACTTTTTTTAATCACATATATTGAAACTACCCTTTAGTACTAACCTCCTTAATATGTATAATTAATAGGAATGTTTAAAGAAAATTTGGAAGACAAAATGTATTGAGGTTTTGTATTTAGAATTAAATTCAATTTTTAACTAGCTATTATATTTATAGTAGCAGAGGTAGTATAAAATACCTTTCTAATTCTTGAATCCAAATTCAGCTTAAAGAACATCATAGGAATGAACCAATCCTAATTTTTCCCCAATCTGGAACAATGCAGGAGAACAAAACACGTACCAACTTTTTCAAAACAATCCAAATATAACCACAGATTGACCAAATTTCCAAGAAAATTTTTGCTTCCAACATAATAGTAAATCAACGGGTCCTCCAACATATGTTACCTTTGACAGCAAAACCAAAAGGGAAAGGGTGATTTGGGTTCTTCAAAACTTCTACGCAAGATGACTAAGCGCAAGTAGATACAGTGCAGTAGACAAATGTAGCGAACAACACAATAGCAGATATAAGTGCAAGTGCTGAATGTATAAAGTGTAGGGAAGAGAGAATGCAAAAATTGCGACTTATCTTGGTTCAGCTCACAACCCAAGCCTACGTCCAGTCCACAAACTCCTCACTTGACATTTATCCACCAAATCCCATAGGTTCGATTTGGACAGCTATGAAGCCACTATAATCCTACAAGTAAGCCTGTGCAAAAAACTCGAAGTCCAGTTTTACTTATCTTGATCGAGTCCTATCCGGTCCAACCCATTATAGAAAAAAGCAGCCTAATGAGACAACTGAACTGACCAGACTGGATTGAGGACCAATTAGTCCTATCCAATCCAGTCCGATATATATGTATGTATATTAAATTACTCTATTTTTATCTTCTTCTGATCTTCACACTCACCTACGCTGTCCTTTTAGATCTCAGTCTCATGAATCATCTCTAGCTAGCCATCACTTCCTGTCTTAGTCTCCACTCTTCAAATCTTGTCAGAAGCTTCTTCCTTTTCTTTTGTTCATCATCATCATCGTAGCTGTTGGTGCTTAAAACACAAAAAGGCAGTTGTTCTCCTTGTTTGTCCCCACTATGCCTCTTTCTCATCATCATCGTGTCTCTTATCTGTCACCGCTAGTGCCTGAATGTTATTCATCTTGTCCTTCTCCTCAGATGTGTTGATTGTGTGCTGATTGGTACGCTCGAGATTCCTCTCCTTCTCTACCAAATCCATGTGTGTTTGGGTTAATAAGCTTCAATCATTTTTTTCTTTCTGGTCTATTGTGATGCTAGGAGTGAGGGGTTGATATTCTTTTTCTTCCTTCTACGACTCCATGAATGAGGGGCTAGGTTTGTTTGAGTGAAAGCATACTAGAGGGAAGAAAAATATGTGAGAAAGATTGATATCAAGGGTAAAGAGATAGTAGCATGAGGTTTGAAAGGTGCAGTGGACTGTAGATTTGGATGTGGTTAAATCTTATCTCCCATTAAAAAAAATTTAAAAAGAATTATGTACTACCTAGACTATTCTAGTGGACCAAACCCGGTCTGACCTAATCTCAAGTTCATATCAGACTGAACCAGACCGCGAACAATCATATGCAACCCAAAGTAAATTCAAACCAGATCTTGGGTTAGGCATTAACCCGTTTTGGGCTGGTATCTGTGCACCCCTACCTACCAGTTCAATCTAGGCACTTAAGAAGCCATAATTCTAAGTTTGATCTGAGTACTAGTAAAGCCACCAACAATCTGAAGATGACAATTCAAATATCACTGCATTTGATCAGCTTAAAGATAAACCTTTTAACAAGTTGGATAAGTACAATAAAGAATATGAGTATAGTGAGTAGCTATTAAATGATTCACATAACCAACAGAGTTTCAGTACTAAATAAGCTTGTGTTTATCATTGTAAACTTGAATACAACTCAAATTTATGAATTTTCAATGTAAAGAGATGTTAGATACATAATCTAACCATTGCTCGCTGAAACTAGTTGTTAGGTGAGAGAACTTAATGCACCTATCAAATAAAAGTAACTAGCTTGATAATCGACTATATCTAGAAGCATAGTAGGAGGTAGGTTACTAATGATTAGAGAACTAAATGCACTTGTCAAATAAAAGTAACTAGCTTGATAATTGATTAAGTCCATTGGACAACTAATGAAACTTATTCAAAGAGCACTCAACATTGAAGCACTTGAATAAGCAACTTGCTAGACTCAATGTTTTGATGATAACAAAACTAGAGAAGAATTGTTTTGCAGGATAACATAAGCTAATTATGTCATAATACACATGATCTATTATTCTTAGTCTCAACCCAAATCAAATCTTAATGCAACTCGAGTTCAGTCAAGCCATTGTGAAACTTTCTCTTCTTAATTTGTAGTTAGTACTTGTCAATTTGAGTCAAAGCTATCACTAAAATGTCAACTTCAAATCTTTTGTATTTGACCTTGAGTTCATGACTTTGGTTTTGCACTAACTGGAAATTGTATCATTTCAACCTGAGTCAATCTACCTTGGTATATTCTAAGAATTGATCTAACCTCAAGTTAATCCAAGACCAACCCAAATTATAGATCATATCTTTATATATTTCTAATGTGACTCAAGTTCTGTATATGTATCTTAACCTCAAGCTAACTCGTCACATAGAATATTTGTCATATCGTAACCTATAGTTAACCTAACATTCTCAAATTCTAACCTATCAACTTGAGTTAGTAGTTCTTAACTAGAAGTTATCCTCATAACCTATCTAATCTAATCATGATCCTTAATCGTGTGATTCATGTTCTCAGTTAAATATCACCAAATCACTCGTACTCAATATTCCTACCTATATTTACCTAAATATATCATTTAGATGCAACAAATCATCGAGTTTTAATGTTTATCTAACTCAAGTTGGGTTGTAATAAATTAGATTCAAAAAATGATTTGTGTCAAACAACTCTTCAAAAATTTCAAATCTTATCCAATCTCAACCGAAGTTATTCCTAGCCTTCTCTAAATCTATCTTAATTGAGATGATGTATCATGACTTATGTAAAATGCATTTCATTTATATGTGATTAACCAAGGATTATGACTAAATGAATTAATGATGCGTGAGGTTACTTTAGTGTCAAACGCCTTTAATGCTCCCAACATTTAGTTACCTCAACTCTATGAAATGACACAATATCTTCAACAAAAAGTTTATTGTCTCTAATGGCTACTCACCAATTTTCATTTTACAAATAGAGACGTATTTACAACGAAGCAATGATGTACCTACAAATTATATGTTATGTCACTTAGCACTCGATTTACAACTAATATACTATTTCACATTTATAAAGGAGTATTTAATTGAGATTGCTTTTAATCAAAATGGATAATGAAACACAAATAAGGGAGCTAAGTTGTAACATCGTAGTTTTTAATCAAGGATTGAGGAGTAATTAAGCTTTATTGTAATTTATCTTAAGATGTTAATGATTATTTGAGGTGGATAGGGGGGAAAAAAAGGTAAGCTAGAAGTTGTTTTGAGGTAGTTTTGTGGCTCTCTATGTTTTTTATTGCTATAGGAGGAGAGGTTCATCACGACAAATAACACAGAAACAGGAAGAAGATGCTATCTGTGTTCTTTGCTCTAGCTTTGTCACGGCGACGTTTACGGCGAATATCACAAAAGGGAGACCCCATCGCTTCTATGAAATTTTTCACAGCGAATGCACCTACAATTCAAATTATTGGTGCCTCTTTGTTTTTTGCCTCGACAAACTCGCGAAAATGTTGGTAAAAACCAACGTTTGAAATGCGAAAAATAGATAGAGAATGGAGGATAAATAGGAGAGCTTTTCAAGGGCAATCTTGGGAAGTGTTTTTAAGCTTTCAAACCTTCAAGTTAGTGATTCTAACTTGTTTTCTACATTTTTGTCTTAGTTTTTCTCATATTTAAAAGTTGGGATTTTTGAAGTTCTTGAGGATTTCAAAATGTCTGAGTTTTTGACCAAATCTTTTAAGTTTCTTAGAGTTATATGGGTTAGATAAGAGGTTTAATCAGTTTAGTTTTGTTGGATTTTGATTTACAAGGAATTTAGAGGTTATGGTTTGATATTAGAAGTGGGGTTTGTTGAGTTTTAATCATTTGGTGATTAAAATAGTGTTTTGTCCATTGGTTTTTGTTTATTGAGGATAGATAAGAGTATTATTGATGGTTTTTTAATATTGGTTATGTTAGAGATTGAAAATTTTAAGTGTGTGACTTAAGGATTGATTGAATGATTGTTGTTGAGATTAATCAAGGAGCCTATTGAGTTAATTGGATGGAAGA